GCAGGAAATGTACAAGTAAAGATAACTGCAGTACGCATAATGTATAGCTCATACAGTTCAATCGTATTATATATTTTATATATCCATTATATGCTTCTAATACTGAAAATTTTATTTCAATATGTCTAGATGACAAAACATACCAAAATTCACTCAAAATTTAATGTATTAATAATATAAATATATTATTCTAATTCTGTTTATTATATTTCTTTACTGAAAGCTCAAAATAAAAATTTATATTCACAGATATTTATTTAGAGATCGCTCTTTCTAACAGACTGAGATGATACGAATCTGGTTCGCTTAGATTATTCATTGAAAAACCGTAATTCGTGCATTTATTGCTCGTTTATAAGATCGGATCTAAATCGAATTTTTAACGTTTGAAAAAACTTTCTTTCTGTGATTTTCATTGTCTATAATTATATAATCTAAATAGTGTTGAATATCTTTTTTGTAGTACATTATTAATGCTATATTGAACTAGTGTGAGATAGTATAATATACTATATATGTATAGAGAGTGTTTTGCATATAACTGAAACATTTGAAATATTTTAGTAGTTTACAATATATATTTTCTCTTTCCTACAATATTTTTTTTTATTTAGAGAGATTTGCAAGAAAGATTTTTCACTTCGGTATAGAGAGATAGAGAGTAGTGAAAGAGAAGGGCAAGAGGGGAATCGATAAGGATACGGTTCGATAAGAAGAATTGGTTAGTAATTCAAAATGAATGCCTACTTACGTATTCTCTGAAGCATTAATTCGCCAGTGAACGGATAATTGAGCCTCTCCGCGAATTCCCTGCAGTACCAAACCAGTAACTCTTGATTCGGTAATATCGGCTTAATTGTGTAAAAATAAATGTTCATCTGAAATATGAAAGAGTATGTCTGAAACGATTGTCACAGTTTTCTCCTACTTATAATCTAGACGAGGTTTGAGATACATGTTCTTTCGCGCGAGATGCATTCCGCAAAATTATTTTACCTTATACTGGCATGCTATTAGGTTTTGCGATTCGGACGAGTAGGCGGGATTCACGTAACGCATCCAATTCGATTTTTGGACGTCATAACCATCGATGTAGTAGAACAGCTCGTTGTTCTTGTATACCTAGCAATACGAAAATCTTTCTATTACGACGATTAAAATGTATCTTTAAAATGATCCTATCAGAATATTATTATATTTTAGGGGTGATTTTTTAAAATTATAAACACGTAACAATCGTTGTTTACAAGTGTGTGTGTGTGTGTGCGTGTGTGTATATTTAATTGTTATAACAAGTCAAGGCACTATAAACATCTAAAAAATGTAGACATAAAATCTAAATATCTCTTTTAGATGTTTTTAAGATGTTGATAATTTTTGTAATCGTTGAAGCTTCTATAAATACTAATTGCTCATTCTTATATTGTTATAATTATTCAAGATATTATTGACGTCTGAAATTTGTAATTATATTATTCTAATAACCTATGATTATCAGGGGCATTCACTACTCAACTAGAATTATTTATTAAAAAAGTGTTATCTATTTATCGAATTTTTATAATTACTTTATATTTTTTATGATAGATTTGTATATATTTTTATATTATGATTGTTACAAGAAAATACTGAAAAGGCACTACTTAATATTTGTCATCTTAACGTTTGTCATTTCGATTTACATGTATCATGTGTTTCGCGCGGAAATTAGGTAAAAATTAGGTAACCATCGTAACGAATTGATCAATTACGAGACATCAATGATTTCTCGTGCTTTAAGGCTTACTGGATCGTTTAAGATCAATTTCTGATCTTTGCTGGTTTTTCCTTTTATATTAGCTCTATTCCCTATCTTTTTTCCTTGTTTTTTTAACGGTGCTATATCGCATTTTTATTTTATGTTGATCAATACTTCGGAGGAATGTTACTTGTCATGTAATCATAAAACCGAAGATCTCAGTTGAATAACAGATGTAAAATTAAATTCTTACCCGCCAGAAGTATTTTCGGTTCGCGTCTGCTGGTACCGAATCTTTCGTATACACCTGACCGACCAATGGGCCGAAACGTGTCCCTTTAGGGATGTAACTGGTGCTCCATACGCCCAACACCTGTCATATAAATAATATTTGATTAATCGAATTGATAAAAATTAAGGAATAATGCATAGTTTAGTTCAATTGTTCATTAGGTTCTTGATTTTTATCTTTTATTTTAAATATTTATATATATATATGTCTGATATTCAGAATTATGAATTATTTTTTTAATTCTGAATGAGTTTAAAGTCTCTCGATTTAAAGAGTACAGAGAAGTTGCAAAATTTTTTCTATAAATGTTTAAGTTTTATTCGGGAAGTCCATTTGATAGCAAAAGCTATCAAAACTATAAATGATGAGTGATTGGCAAAAGTGCATTGTTTGCTCCTCCCTTCAATATTTTCATCGCTCATTTTTTACCAACATTGTTAAAATACACGGTAGAAGATAATAGAACCTATTTCCATTCTGACGCACGTTAGAATAGAATCCGTCTATTGCATAGAAACGTCTATCCGTCCAAAACTAATTTAACTCTTCGGTGCTTTCAGTTCGGCGCGCGTTTCCGATGCTTCTGTCTCTTTTTTGACAAACGGAAGTTCGAATGTCGATTAGCCCACGTGAATCTATATATTACCTCGTTGTGCAATTTCATCTCATAGGAATGTTTCGATGCCCTTTCGTAGAGAAATTTCAAATTTTGTAAGCGGTATGGAAAAATTTCGAGCAATTCTTACGATATATAATCGCGTTCAGATTCTCGTTTTCCGTGCTGAAAAAAGTACAACGATTCGATTTTATCTCCAAGTCATGCCTCGTAAATTAATTAATTTCGTCATTCATTTCAAGTTTGATTTCAGTAGAAAGTGAATTATAGTTCATAGTGAAATATAGTATTAATAAAAACTCTAATGGACAAAAGAGAGAATAAAAATTATTAATTATTATTAAATTTTTATTAATAGTAGCATTTGTCACCTCATGAAAGATGCAATATAAGGGATATAATTTATATATTATATTGTTCTACTATATGTATTGCATAATATCACACAAAAACTATACAATATAATGTCTATCAAAATTTTAGAATTTCTGTATCTCTTCTCTGTATGGCTTAACGTTCCACTTTAGGAGATTGCAATTTTTTTTTCAGACGTCATCATTTTTCTTGCATAACTTTGCACGTGCCCAGTTAGTGTCGAAAAAAAATTAATAAATCGAGACGACTCACGCGATTAAATGTTCACAATTAAACTTATATATCTCGAGGAGATTTCGAAATAGGACTTTTTTTTTTTTTATATGAAAGAACGTACGTCGTTGAGAGCTTGAGAGGGCTTGAGGACCAGATTTCGCGGCAAAGATGCTTCCGCACGATTGGTATCGCCCGGCGATGTCGCCACATCCGGTACCAAATATACGGCATGCTGCTCGAATTCTTCCTCCCTCAAGGTCGCATGATCCCACTCGCTGGCCTCCATTCTTCGCTGCAAATTGAACCAAACAATTTTTATTGCATTCAATATTGGAAAGATTTTGCGAAAATATTATTTCTTAATTTATACTAAAATTTAATATAATATCTTTTCAGTCTATTTTTTTTAATGATTTAACTGATGCATTTTGTAATATATAAGAATGCATAAATTCGAATAATAAAATTATTTTATGAGATGTATTTTTCGCGAAGTAATTTTATTTAAATTCATAATATATGTATATTTTTATCGTGAAATGTTTTTAAGTAAGATTTTATCATTATTGATGCAAAAGCTACACAATATTTTAATTTTAAATTTAAATACTCTTATAATTCCATAATTAGATACTTTTAGATATTATTGGATACTTCTTCATAATCAGATACTCTTTCATAATTTTAACTGAGAGAAAGTAATGTATATTCTTGCGACAATCTCGAAAGCTGCGTATAATCGAATGACGGATAGATGTCTTTTTAAGCAGATTATACATTTAGGATTTTTAAATCTTTGTAATACATTTTGCGAGAATTCTTAATAATCTTATATATACATCGCTGTCGTATGTGCATTATTTTTTATTCATGGAGTTTGGAATTATCTGTTTGCTAACGATCCTTAGGAAGATTGTGAGCTGTATGCTTCATTCTTCTGTGTTCAATAGCGCTCGAATGAATAATCGAAGTCTCGTCATTGATGCCCACTATTTTTTACCCATACCGTTTTTTTATAGGTCTACGTTTTTTTATTTTTATCGAGCAATACGCTCAGTTAAGTTCACTTGCGAAACTTAACCGCGATCATTGTTGAAGGAATAATTAAAAGTCTCAGCATTTACATTTCTATTTCTTGCACGTATTTATCGAACCTTCGCGCAAACTTCAGGAAATTATCAATTTGCAATAAGCTCGAAACGGATTATTCGGAATTGATTGGATCGATATATATATATGTAAATAAATAGCCAACACGTGAAAATAGTCTTGGCTTCTCGATGAGGATTTTTCTCAATGCTTTTGACTCAAATGTCTTGCTTTAGGAATCTCGAGAGATAATTTAGCATCAATGATCGTGTAAAGTTGAGATAAATAATTGTATCTATTTATACGTGTGTATAGTGATTATTAGAACATTAAATTATTATCAAGAATTTTTTCCACAAATATCGAATAATCGTCTGTACAGACAATCGTGATCGAATTGAATAAATCGTCATTCGCGATTTGGTTTTCTAGTCGACTCTTCAATTTGCGGTGGTGCAACACTTTAACACCGCGAAAGTGAAACCCGTCCACGCATTGATCGACTGCAGGGGTAAGAGGGAGGGAGAGAAGAGAAGGAAGGGCGCGGGGGCATAAACTCTGAAGTCCTCCCCGCCCGCTACCACCCGCCGGGGGTTTTCGCTACCCAGTGGATTTCGATTTCCATGAAAATCGCGCACTGTCGTCGTCACAAACTACTCGTTCGCATGTGCTTTCAACGCGATTTTCCAACCAAAAGCATTTTATCGCGTTTTTGAAAACTCGACAAATAGATTTTTGACAAAATAAATATCACAATTCCGAGAGAAAGAGAGAAAGGAAAAAAATTAGTTTTTTTTTGTGAAATATAATTAGCATAATTCAGTGCTCTAGAAGCTTTATAATTTTTAGGCCAAGTTTTCTCTCTTTCTCTCTCCGCGATTCTCTATAAATTAAGATATTCTATAACTAAATTTTGTATAGACGCTTGAAAGCTTTATGCTTTCTCGATCTTGGTTATTGTGTAACTTTAATAATTTCAACTTATATATTTCCTTCTCCTTGCAATCAGTTTTTAAAAGTTGATTTATTATGTAAAGTTTATTTATTATGTAAAATTGATTTTTATGTATTTTTTTTTTAAAAAAGCTTTTTTTTCTTGCCTTAAAGAATATATATATATATTGGATGATTGCATAAGTTCGTGCCGGATTTTCATAGATGGCATTAAGTTACTGCATGGCGGAGTTCTATTGTTTTCGTGTGGTAATTGTTGAAAACACTGATATTATGTAACATAGCTTTCCTAACAGAGAGACGTTTTTTTATCATCTGTATTTCATGCAATATTTATTTATTTATATCAATTATAAATTATTAAATATTTTTAATGATGTATATATATATATATATATATATTTAAAAATTTTAATTGTTTACCGTCATTCTAATTAAAGAATTATTTTCTCATAATAGAATCAACTGAGATTAGCTCGATATAATTATTTTTATTTGTTTTTAAATAAAATATGCTGGTATACTGACTTGTTATGTTTCAAACGCGATTAATTCTAATAAAGCTCTTTTAAATTCTAAGCTGTTTATCTTGCAATGAGATTTCTAAACAAAAAGTCCGAAAGTAAAGATTGTTCACATGACATATAGTGCATCGTACGTATTTGATAGATTCCTGCATTTACAAAATTGCAGTCGCGATAGAATCTATTCCTGGCGACAAGATATATACGATGTTTTGGTCCCGGTGGCGTTAAGAATTTTTAATCTTTTATATGTTACACATATAATCACTGACTTCTTAATGGAAATGCCATTTTATGGTGATTTTCTATATTTCTTCTTTTAAAATTCCATTTTGAAATATTTATTCATGAAATATTTATGTGTTCATGTATGTGTGTTATAATAATCGGTTAATGTAAAAAAAATTATATGTCAGAAGACTTATCTTTTTATCGCTTCAAACTTTAAAATATTAAAGAATTATAAAGAGATCTATTTATTTTATTGCCATCAGTTCTCTAGAACAACAAACAACATCCTCGCTCACACATCCTCGTAGTTTCCATTATTTTGAATTCTAATATAGTAAAGGAAAAAATCTATATTCTACTTTTTTATTATTTTAGTTGTAAAGTGAAGGAATACACTTTTAATTGAAGGACGGCATTTCTAATTTGACAAATGTATTATATTTTTCTTTGTAACTCAATATGCTCGATACTAACCGCGTGATATCTCTCGATCCGGATTTACGATATTCACAGCTTGAATTCAGAGCATCGGGGAGGATGCCGTCAGACAATATCCACGACGGCAACGGGGTTATTCCTCGAGGTGTAGATAGGTAGCTAGGTTCACCACCCTGAATCACCCCGAGGATATTTCTTCTCTCGCGATCCTTTCACCGTTGCGCGACCGTGCGTGCGCGCTGCAAAAGGCTCTAAATCATTGCAGGCCGCCCTTTATGTTATTCTGTGGTTCCTTAGAGAGACCGGCATTTCGCCGGTCGCCTTCAAGGCTCGATCCACTTGGCCTCGCGCTGGCGGGCGACGCAGGGCGCCGTTTACCCTCAACATTTATCTTGCCCGATCTGATCGCGCTGAGGATCGCACGGAGGGCGAGGGCGAGAAATTACGTCGATAAGGCCGATCGCTGTTCCGACTTTTGCTGCCTAGGCGGTCCCTACGCTTATCGATTATCAGGACATCGGGAAATGCGATCGATTCCCAGATTCGGTCGGCCGATCGGTTATCTCGCTCGAATCGCCTTAGCTTGTTTGTCAACAATGTTAATTCTTCACCGCCGAACGAATCGGCGATCGGAATCTTCCCCGAGGAGCGCGTCCTTTCTTATATTCACCTTTCGACGTATCGATCGATCCTGGATCGACACAAACACACACACACACGCGCGTGTATACACTCGTGATTATTCACAAATGCCGATTAAGGCATCCCCCTCGTGTCACCCCCCTCGAAGCGTCGTCCGACAACGCGCGCACTGTTGCCGGCTTTCGCGAACAATTGCACTCCTCGGCACCGATCACCGTCGATTCGTTATCAGGACGCGTGCTTGGCGAACGCCGATTCGACTTTTTGAAAAATCGCGAGACGTTTTCGCGTAGCCACTTGGCGACAATCGGAAATTCGCGTCGACCCTCTTTTCGCGTAGGGGTTGCGCCTCCGCCTTCGTGTAGTTCTCCTCGGCGGGATGACACACGCAAGAGAGCGCGGTGTGTGTGGAACTCGGGTAGACCTGACCTAGCCCAACGCGACTCGGCTTGACTCTCCTCTCTCGTCCTCCTCCCCTTGCATCGGTATTGGTCGGCGGATATACGTCGGTCTCCCTTCCGCTTCCGTCGGTACCTTTCTCTCTACCTCTCTCCCCGTCTCTCCCTCTCTCGCGCTCTCGCCTCTCTTTCTCTCTTTCTGACGCACGCGGACGCGGTGGTGCGCCCGCAAAGCTGCCAGACCAGAGCCAGAGGTGGTGCATTTCTCTGCGCTGCGCTTTCGATCGACCCGTTGCCAGAGGTTTCCTCCCCCTCCTACCCCCTCGGTCCTCGCCCTTGCTCGCCACCCTCCTCCCCCTGAATCCTCCCGTTCCTCCCTCTGTGCGTCTCGCTTTATCGTACACCACTTTTGTATCCCCGGTCTATCATTCCCGGTCCATCCCCCGCTCATTCCTTTTCGTTCGCCGCTATCACCGCTCTCTTCCCCCTCCTCTCCCCTCCCTCCCCCCGCTTCTTTTTCTCTCGTGCATTTCCCTCTTGCGTCCTCGTCTTGCCGTTTATCGCGTTTCACCCTCCTCGTCTCTCCGCGGTCTCCGGTTACCCCTTTCAGCCGCCCGTTTCGACGCGCGTGCAACCTACCCTACCCAGCGGCGCACTATCCCTGTTTTATGCGCCGCTTTCTCCCTTTCTCTCCGTCGACGCAGTGCTTGTTTGTTCGTCCCTCATTGTTGTCGATGACGGTAGAAGACATGCGCCGATCATTCCCGAAGTTTAATTCTTCCGATAACTTCTCGCAATTTTAAAGCACCGTCCATAAGAGAAACGTTTTAGCGAAAGTTGGATCAAAAATATCATTACATAACGTGGAGCTATATTTGTAAATTTTATTCTCTCGAATTTACGTAGGCTTTGATAAAATAGATAAGAATTTTATGATGTATAAAATAAAATCGATTAATCATTAATTCTTATTAATAATGATTTAAACTTTGTAAGACGATTGATTACATTTTATTACGTATGGTACGCTTGTTTTGTATTTTATTATCAATTATTTATTTTCCAAAGTATTTATTTAAGTAACGAGAATTGTGTATATTATTAACTCGAAAATTATGCTTTGTTTTTTAAAAAATGTGTTTTTTCATCGTATCTCATTGTCACGTCGCATATTATTTTTATCTTGCCTTTTTAATGTTCTTTTTCGGTACATCCCTCTCTCTTTCTACCTCAAACCTTTCTGTGCACTATTTCTCCTTGTCTGCCACCCTCTCGGAATCCCTTTACGGGAACGTGCGTTTAACCTCCCTTCGGGCTTGCCCCTCCAACCATCTATTTTCATTCACAACTTAGGGAAGGTGCGACGAGACAATAACGTACAATGCACAATCACGTATTGCAAATCAATAGAGAACTTTTACTATATATTTATATATTTTAATACACATTTTTATACATTAATATACATATATATACATATATAAAGTTTCGAATTAATTAATTCATAAAAAAATAGCTTTCAAGAGCTGTATGCGCCAGAAAATATGTTGCAAAAATGAAGTATGTATCTCATTTAATTGATAAAGATAGTATTCGATAGATCGATTGCAAGAATTCTTGTATATCAGTCAATATATGAAATGTCACAATTTATTGTGACAGCGACGTTATCTACATATAATGTTCGCGGCATATAAATCCTCGGTCGGTTTTTTGTGTGTCGACTTCACGATCACCGAGTATGTGGAATCCGACTGGCCCAGACCCTGGCCCAGAGTCACGGCCATTTGAGATCGGTAACCCCGTTCACTCCGTTCACTGTATACGAGAGCACGCGCGCGCGCGACTCGAGTCTTTTCGAGTCATCGCGAGATTAGTCGACGGGACCGCCGACACATCGTAACGCGAGACGGAAGGTCGTCGAACCCTCGAAATTCTCGGACCCTAATCCAAAAGACCGGTCTCGATCCTACCGCGCAAGGTTACGTGAGCAATCATCCAGGGTCTCTATTCGCGTTTCGAAAAATTCAATCGTTTATTTGAGAAAGCAGACAAGTCGAAGCTACTGTGAACTTTTGACGATGTAGACACATTGTATTAACAACTTTTAAATAACGGAGTTATCTTATATATCAAAGCATTTTTTTTATACACGCTACTTATATATAAACTAAAACTAAAATTTTTTATTTAATTTCTTAAAATAATTTAGAATTTTTTAAGTAGATTATTAAATTTATTTTCTAAATTCTAATCATACCAGTACCATAACAGTGGATCTAGCATATAATTCAACAATTATAATTTGTTATCTTTTACATTGAGATATTTTTTCGAGACCCTTATCTTTCTAGAATCTTATCGAAATCCGGCTATGATAATAAAGTTTTGAATAATATAATATATATTTGTCTCGTAATACCGTTCGCGCAAATACTACACTCATGCGTCATGAAATAAATTTATACCGAGAAAGAATAGGGGTTTTTTCAACACGCAACAATAAGAGCAACAAAATATATATTTATCGATTTAGCGTATATTGATTCGCTATAATTCACTTGGCGCTGTTTCCGATATTAATGGAATATTGGATTGTGCGTGATTTATTCGTAATTTTATCGAAGTCGCGCATACGGTGGAGTGTCTTTTACGGGCAAGATTTTTTTTTGCCAATGCTACTTTATTCATACATATTATCCCGATCTTCCATTGCAAAATTTACATTTCACTGTTCGTTAAATTATGCCGACTAATCATTTATCGCTTACGATACACTGAAAAAAAATTAATTAATTTACGAGCGCGGGAAAACAAACCCTCGACTATTCTTTCGTGGAGGAAGAAATCCGTTATTGCAAATAAATAAAGAGATTTGAAATTTTATGTGCCAAATTGAAACGTGTCGTTCGCATACACCGTTGCAAATCCGTTTCACGTGTGGCTTCGCGACAAACAGTGTTTTGTACTACGATTATGGCTGGCGAAGAGCATGCCGTTGACCTCCTCTGATGTGACGAAATTTCGGCATGCGGACATGTACGCGACGGTTGGCTCATGTCGAATTTCACTTTTCGATGGAACAACGCGTGCGATTCACCTCTCGGGTGCGATTTTCACGATAGCGAGCGAGCTGGCGGAGGTCCTACGCCTAGCGAAAGAAGTTTCCGCGTGAATCGCCGACGACTACTAACCTAGATATGTTCCCCGGGGTCGTCGATCTTTTCCCTCCTCGGCAGGAGAACGCGACTGTGTACCAGATATATTAATTTCCTACGGTACGACCGCTTCTTGCACACGAATCGAACGCCGGTGTGCGCTTGCGAACTTTCGGAAATAGTTTGTCTTCTGTAGGTCAGTACTCTCTCGGATACAGAAGCTCATACTACAGAGCGTTGTCGTTGAAATGGTACTGTTGTAATCGAAATAAAAATTGGTCGCAATCCATTATTATTATTATGATTTTATTATTATTATGATTATTTTATTATTATTTTTTTATTATTATTATTATTATTATTATGATTTTATAATTTAATGCCAATCTTTTAAATTTGTTTAGATAAAAATAATTGACAAATTAATACTACAAATTCAATGGTATCTATGTCTTTTAATTAAAATGAAATCTGTGTAAAAAAGATAGTTTGCTAGTAAATTAAATTTTTTATAATAACTTTTAAATTAAATGTTTGTTGGAAACACAAACATACATTAATTTGCAAATTTATAGATAGTTAAATAATCCTTTAAATTGAATTATAAAACTTGTTTATAACAAGATTATTGCAATGTTATTTAATTAAAAATGTGCTTTTGAAAGTACAAAAATATAATTACACAAATAAATATATAAATTTACGAGATAAATGTAATTTTTCTTGATTACGAAATTTTTAATTTATTTCGACTTGCGATGGAACAAAAATATGTTAAATTTCATGGTTACTACCATTTATATTCGCATCTTTGTTATTTCTCATTCAAGTATCTGGTAGATTCGCGTATAAAAATGTCGATATTTATCGATTTTCGATCGAGGAAGAAATCGAGATGCCGCGCAAAAAAAAAAAAAAAAAGAAAGAAAAACGGAAAAAAAACTGGAAAATTGATAGTGGCATGTCGCGCGTCACTCGTGTAAATTTCTAATCAGACACGTAATAGCGGTCACCGGCGGATAGAAAACCGAATGTGAACCGGAAACGTCGTTTCCATGGAACCCATTTGGATCGAAGCAAGGTGTTTTGTCTCCCGCGCGCGCCCGTTCCGCGCACTTGTAACTGTTACTTTAGAAGTATATAACGGACCGTCCGGCGTACGCGTATATACGCGTGTTTATCAAGTGGATTGCGTGTGCGTAAAGATTGCGGCGAATAACGGGGAGAAATTTGTTTGCCACGCGAGAGTCCGAAATTCTGTACTCGTCGTATATTCGCGATTTACATATTTTC